GTCAAGAAACACCAAAAAAAAACAACTTCGAAGAGTGATCTACTCCAAGTTTTGAAGCAAGAGTGGGCGAAAATCCCACGATCTAAATTTGACGAGATGATTCTCACGATGCTCCAAAGGATCAACGAACTCCACGAAGCGAAAGGAAGATCTACTAGATATTAATTAAATTATAAATATATCAATTCATGTGAATATGACTGAAAAATTTCATTTTTTCTGACAAGGTGGTGTCTATTTACTTGTGACCATGCTGGGTATTATGGAATTGTTTGCTACTTGTTGTATATCAGTGTAAATCCATAGTGCAAAAACTGTGGTTGCATCCACTCCTTGGGAGCATAGACAGTTGGTAGAAGAAATGCACCACTATGACTGTAGGTTTGTTTTTATTTTGTTTGTAGTTAAACACAAAGCTACACAATGAGCTATTTATGCTCTGACCACCACAAGTATCAAACCCAGTTTTTAAGAGTTGTAAGTCCGCAGACATACCATGGAGTCACTGGGAGGCATGAATAATTGAATATATAAATTATATTGGAAAGTACAAATTTAAAAATAAAGAAGTTTTAAAATCTACCATACAAATATTACCACTATTAAGTAATACAGTAACAACAATTAACATGGGAAAATGACATGTACAGTATATACACAAATAGGTTAGAATGAAGAGCTGCTTCAGAATGCAAGCTGCAAAAGGAACAAATACAAGTTAATTTCATACTAAACACTAAACAGAAAGAAAGACTACACAGCTGAAACATTATGTATTTCACTCTCTTCTTTCTTATTTCTCAACAAGGAATTAACCTATCATACAAATAAATAGTTTTAAAGTTGAACAGTTTCATACAAATGGGTTTCTCCCTTCAAATATAGGAAATCTTATAATTCATTTTCTTGGTACTGGCTGTTAGCTGTCCCAAGAGTTCAATCTTGGTGACTAGGTATGGTTAAGGTACATATTTGCAGTTCAGAAACAACTCAGTCCTGGCTGGACTGATCCATCAACAGCTCGATGAAAGGGATTACAAGTTACAGTGGTCATGTATGTACATCTGATATGCTGACAAGTTTCAATTCTACTTCATTGATACTTCAGGTTGACTAACAATGAAAGCACTGTGTTTTACAATCTCATTTCAGCTGGTGAGGAGGAAGAGACTGATAGTACCTATCTGGCTGTTTATGAAAAGTCAGATAAGTAAATGGAAGTGTAAGAGCTGTCTATCAGATCTAATAATCATCTTAGATGCCAGTGATGGCCTCCTAAATATTATGGTTAGGATGAACTGCTTAATTAATGTTTAGAATGGCAGGTACATCAGTAGATTGACCACTGAGAGGAAGTTTTAGTACATAAATTCCAAGCTATCAAATAATGTTTCATAATAGGATGTATATGCATTACATCATGCAATAATTACTTGATTATTTTACAGTTGGTTGGTTGAAAAACTGACAACTAATAGTGTATCATGGCCCTTAATTTCCAAGCTATTGGGTAAAATTAGGTAGCAAGATATTAATCACATGTCTTGCAGTAACCACTTGACCTATCTGGATGAGTCGTAGCAGAATTTCTGCAAAGCAGACTGTGCAAAATGTGCTAGATATAAAGCTAGGACAGCTGATGTTGTTAGATAATATCCTATTGAAACACAGTTATATTCAACAGTTAATCATGAATGGAGATTTTCATAAAGCAGAGAAGACTTCATAGTTTTGCTTTCCAACCATCCAGCCTTAAGTTTTGTGTGAATGATTCCTGACATTTAATGGCATGAATTTCCTGAGCAAACTCAAGATCCAGCAATAAGTTGGCATGATTTTGTGTTGGTCACTATTCAAGGTTGTGAATTTCAGTAAAGTGGCTGTGCTCTAACGCAGCATCAGAAACTAACATACACTATATGAATCAGGTAAACATGTATAAATTGTTAAATTTTTGTATTATTTTTTTTTTTTCTATTTACTTGATGTAGTAGGTCACTCATGATCCCCAGTTGGCTGAGCTACTGGGATAGAAATGGTGGTTCAGATTGATTACTAAATTATCATGGCAAAATTAATTTTTTGACATCCCTTGTGCACCTATTACGTTATATATAAGTGTATTGTGCAGTTGATATGGAATGTAATTTATATTAGGATAGACCATTTCTGCTTATTTCTGTCTGTTATAGTACATGCTCTACTCTTTAGGTGACTTCTGAGGCTTAACAGGTTTGGCACATGTGGAAAGCATGATTGATGCTGATGTCAGTTGACATGGAAATCAGACTAGCTGTTGAGAATGACCTCATATACTGTATGTATGTATTGGTTAATATATGATGATGGACATGTATGTGACAGCACATGAGAGTAACAACTTTTCAAGCTAATAAAGAATTTGTCTTAAAATACTGAGATGTGGTATGGTATATGAACATACCATGTGTTTTTATCTTCTTGTAATATTATTTATTCTTAATTCATTATTTGTCCTGAATATGTGCAAGCTTCGCATAACACGTGGTCAAGAAAACCATTAAGTTGACCTTGTTTCAAGTTACCTTTGTTTTTTTGTTGATCTTGAAAGTAGATAATACCTACCACTGCCCAGGAAGGATACGACACATTGCATAAGAACATTGATAACAGTGTTCTTTATTGGTTGTTTAGGTGATACCTATAGGTTGTAGTCCAACCTATATTGTAATCAATTTAGTCTTGATATATATGGTTTCAACTTAATTGATTGAAGAAGTGAAGTAAAAAACATCCAGTAAAAATGATCATCCAGGGTGCTGTAACAGCAAGAACACACACAGCATTTGTGTTTCATTGACATAGCAAAGATTATGCTTTTTGTTTTGCACTTTTTTGCCCAGTTTCTTTTCTTAACTTTAATATTGATCCAGTCAGTAGGAGATTTAGTACTAATTTGTAATAAATATCTTGATCAAATCTCTAGTTATTAAGAAAACCTATATGGTGTAGCTACAGTATTAATTCAGTTTTACAGTGATATGTTTAGTAAAGACTGCATACAAGTAATAGCTTAGATCACATTGTGAAATAATCCTGGTGTATTCTGTATTTTCATAATGTAGGTAAAGAATATGCAGAGGTTGAGTATGTTAAAATAGAATTATGCTGGAGCCTCACCACATCATTACAATCTATGTTTCCACTCTTGCATCTTAACGTTAGCCATTACAGTGTAATTTCCACTGGAAAAGGCTCCATCGTAAGGTTGTCATGTTGTAAGCACACAACTACTCTCTGTAGGCTTTCTATAATCCATTTAGTGTACAAGAGCAATAGTTTCCCAGCAAAAATTGAACAGTCTGATCATTAAGAAATCCATAGGTGTATCTTTGTATGGAAAAATATGAATATACATTTTATTTCCCAGCTGCTTGAGAGGTATGATGGTTGAATGGATATATCATGGAAGCAACTTGTGTACACATGATTTCTGTCACTTTTCCGACCAGAAATCTTTCTTGATTATGTTGTGGACTCTTGCTTGGATGGCTTTTGCCACTGATCTTTATGTTCATGGATTATCACTTAATACAAAATGTCACATGTTACTTACCCAAGCTCATTTGCAAGTTTCTTTGTCGATGGTCCAAGTGCTTCAAGTTGATCAATATTTCTTTGTTTTCCAGTGCCTTTACTTAAAAGGGATATTCCCATCTTGGAAATTCTAAATTACCAATCTGAACATATCTCTATGATCTGAATGTATGAATAATTTGCATAGGAAAATGCTGTTTTATACCCTTCCAAAAGCAATCAATTTTTGATGAAGTCACACTACCTACATATGCCAAGTGATCTCAGAATGTAGTTACGATACATGCCTTCCCACAGAAACTTTATATCAGGTGTATTTGTTATGTGACTTGAATATTAAAAATCGTTTGAATGTAACATATTCAACCCTCTGTATATATAATTTGTTTTCAAGCTGGAATATTTGTAAGCATGTTTATCTAAAAAAAAAGACAAGTAGTTGCTATAGAATCTACATCACACTAGGTAAAAAATGTGGTGATCCAATCATTTTCACTGTTATTGGTGAAGTATATCTTGCAGTTGAGGATACTGATATATTTGTAAATTGTGTCTTTACTGAAATTACATTTTTCTTGTTTCTTTCAAATTTAGAAAGATGTTTGATTTATATGACTGAAAAATTTCCAACTTTTGGCTAATATTACTGAATGTTTTTGAAATATTATTTCTGAACAGAGTAGTCATAATCCAAGAATTTTGTATTAACTACCTCTAGTTATAGTGTTATAACATAACTTTTGTGTGGACTGCACAAATATAATACTGGATTTATATGTGAAGTAAGATGTGATTTCACTTATTTATTCTGATTATGTTTAACTTGGTGATAGGTCTGGTTAAGATAGCTACATATGTATGTGCTGTTCAGTACAAAGCTATATGAATTAAATATCCACAAATGCTTGGAATAAATGTGTCCTAAGGTCACAGTAGTGTATGCAACTGCCATGGATGATGCAAAACATGGCAGGCAGACAAATTTTTCCACAAAAAAGCTATAAGTGGCTATATTGTTTAGCCTTACATTGCTAGCTGAAATTCCAATCAATCATAGATTGAGTACACTTGGAGTTTTTAATCCTTAAGTTTAAATTGAGCCATCTGTCTTGTGAATTGCCTGACAGTCTATTGCATTCATGGGAGGACTATAGTGAATCGCCAATTTAGTAAAAACATACGCACAGCTTAGTGAATAAAGAATTTGTTTGTTTTTCCTTTGCTGCCCATGTTGAATTTGTTCTCTGCATAACATTTCTTGAACTTACTGTATCATAGAGACTTTTGGCTACCTATTAAGTATCAATGTACCAGAAAACCACAATTTTATTGCAATTTTTATGATCACCTAACATAGCCTGTTTGATTAGGAATCAACAAAATATAATGATGGAAAGAACAATATATAAAATTTCTGAAAGATTATAGCAGCACTGAATGTGTACCACTAAAGCCAGAGAGATAAATAGAAATGATAGGGTTTGTTTTCAATTTTGTGCAAAGCTACACAAGGGCTATCTGTGTTAGCTGTCCCTAATTTAGTAGCAGTGATAGACTAGAGGGAAGGCAGCTAGTCAACAACACCAACTGCCAACTCTTGGGCTAATCTTTTACCAGTGAATAGTGGAATTAACCATCATATTATAATGCCCCCATGGCTGAAAGGGTGAGCATGTTCAGTGTGATGGAGATTCGAACCCGCGGCCCACATATTGCAATTCGAGCACCCTAACCATTAGGCCATGCCAGGCCCAATAGAAATGAATTACCAATGATTTTCAGATACATATCAATATTTAATATAAGATGACTTTTGATTTTTTTTGGTTGAAACACCTACATTAATATTTTGACAAATTATGCACATTATTATCAACACCCTCATTTCTTTCCCATATGTTATACTAAGGCATACTGATACAAAAATATCCTGCTACTTAAAGGTAAGAACACATTAAAATGTAACTACTGATTCAGTAATGACAAATATTGGAAATGGCAAAGGAACCATTTTTCACACTACAATACAATCCTCAAGCCCTTACCTCATCTGAGTCATCAGGGAAATAAACTCTATGAAAGATCTGAGTGCTCTTGTGTTGTATTGCTTCTACTTCGACCATGTGTGGAGGGTACTTCCGCTGTCCAACCCTATCAGAAAAAGTTCAAATTATGCACTCACAAAGTAATTTTTCTATATGAAGAATAATTCAAAACATTAACTGGTATGATACACAATGCCTTATGACAATGAATTGTGATCTATAACTTGTTTTTTTGAATTATGCATATAACCGTATTAGGGCTAGCTGCACTAGCAATCCCTAATTTTGAAGTGATAGACTAAAAGAAAGGCAGCTGGTTAATATCATGCACCAAACACCCAATCTTGAGTTACTCTTGTCAGGCAGAACAGTGAGATTTGACCATGACTTTTAAAATGTAATATAAAAATATTAATATAGTCAAAACTGCATAGGCAACGAAAATAAAATTAAATAATAGGTCAAACAATTGCCAAGTTTTTTATATTTTTTATTTTTATTTAAAGAAGGATGACATTTCAAGCTAGTGCACTTCATCAGATTGTACAGTTTACAACTAACTGTACGATCTGATGAAGAGCACTAGCTTGAACCGTCATCCTAATTTAAATAAATAAAAAAAACTTGGAGATTGTTCAACTTATTATTTAATTTTCTCATAATGTAGTACCCATAACTCCAAAGCATAGAAAGTGATTTTTTTGGTTTCATCAGCACAAATATCATACTGAATGAATAGCATTCTGAATAAGGCTTTGTATGTTCATGCCCAGCTGACCTAATAAGTTCTGGTATTGAGTGAAAGGTTGGAAATGATGTGCACAACACGTTAGGGTATGTGATCTAGATGCTTCTTGTTATTAGTTGCTAGTTGTTGTTCTTACAACTGTTATATAACACTCCATACAGACCTTTACATAACAAGTAGGGAACATTTTATAACTTCTGATATCTTCCACTGAATTTTTAAGTCATCACATTAAATAAATATTTTACATAAAGCTAAAATTGAAGTTTCACAAAAGCATGCATATTTTAGAAACTTTAAATTTTAAATATTTTCAATAACATACACACCTGAACTTGGATTTTAGGTATAATTTCTCACATTACCTTACACTTAACAAAATGCATAATAAACACTTCATAAACAATTTAAATTAAAAATAAACATACCAATATATTGTTACTTCACAATTCATTAAAATTAGTTTTAAAACAATAATATACCAAAATTTGACTTTTCAAAATATGAAATATCCTCTAAATTTACTTGAATCAATTCCCATAGAACTGCATCTAATTATATTAATGTCACAATTTTATTAGCATCTACAGTTTAAATACACACATTAAAAATATTAATAGTAAAAGAAAAAGAATGTTGATAAGATAGATAAAAGACTGCTGCTAAATCATCAAAATATCAAATATAAGAATGAACCAAATAGCATATATGTCTACATAAATATAATAGTACAATCTGTTGTATGTCCATGTAACTACTTTGCAGGGTGTGGATTTAGCCAGTCAAAGGAAACAGGGAGGGAAACAAAGGCATCAGCACTTTTCAGGACCCATGAAACAGACCTTGAATTAAATTAAATCTGGGAAAAGGTTGCAAGCAAAACAGTAGAAAAATATTGATGATTCTGCAATAAGAGTTCAGACATAAATAAAAAAAGGGTAAAAAATAAGAACCAAAATATTTGCTGTAAAAAATATGGGTTTAATAATTTATAATTTTGGGAAATGGCATCAAACAAAGAATATTGGTGCATGAAAAAAATTCAAATAGAAACATGGAAAATTAAAATAGAAGTCTGAATTGAACTAAGTTTGGGAAAAGGCCACAAACAAAGGGAAGAAAAATATGAATAAAAGAATAATGAAGAAATCAGATAATGAAAAGAATTCAAATAAAAACACAGAACGAAAAAAACGAATCTGAGAAGCTAAATTAAGACTATTTGCTTTAAGATAGCTTTGATATACAGAAACATCTGTTAGCTGAGTTCTTGCACATATCTTAAAATATAACGTTCATAAATGGAAACATCGGCTCATACATGTATTGTTTGTATGTTTCAAAATATTTACCAAAGGTAAACAAAGAGTTATCTGCACCTAGCCATCATCCACTTAAAAATAAAAACTCAAAGCCATCCATTGTCATTCAAATATTTATCAAGCCTTTCCTTAAACTCCCTTACATTAACTGCATCCATCACATCTGAAGGAAATCCATTCCAAAGGTCAACCACCCTTTCAGAAAAATAAAACTTTCTTAGCTAAAGATGTTTCTTACTCAGCTAAAACTTACACTTGCATCCCTTAGTCCTACCATTCTCACCATTAAGTATGAAAAAATATGACGAGTTTGAATGAACTTCATTTATAACAACCTTGTACTTTCTTCCGTCCATCAAGATTTCTGTATAATGAGCCAACCTATCCCCCACTAATGTTAGTAGGTTCCTACCAATTTTACCATAATTTATTCTGTTATAATAATTTCTCTATGATCTTTATAACTAACCTGAGAGTTTTTTGTAATCTCTGAATGGAGTCATAAGCTGTTGGATGATTCCGTGTACGTAGAAACATTGTGAGTTCTTTCAACAAGTTCTGACTAGGTGCAAAAAGTCCTGTGGCTAACCACATCAGTTCCCATCCTCGTTCTTCACTGATTCTGAAATCGAAAAATAAATTAGATATTCATATATACAGATTACTTTAATTATGCCAATGTACTGCAGTTATACAACTGACATTTTTAGCTCACCCCTTCCTCTTTCTCTATGTATGTTATCAAAACTTCACAAAATACGATAAAAAAAAACCTCAAACAGTGACATCGAATATTAGAGCTAGGTTTTTGAAGATGTCAGCCAGTTTATTGATTAATAGTATTAGCACATATATATGCTCTCTTTCTTACAAAACCAGATATGTTTCTATACTACTTTACATTTCTACAAGTATGTTAATATATATTCAGAAGAAACAGCATTCAACTGATATATATATATGTGCATGTGTATTTCTTTATATATATTTATATGTAAAGTCCAATTTTTTCAGCAGTAAACTCTTTCGACTCTTATCAAATCTACTAAAAAAATGTTTATAGCTAAATACCAACCTTTGTTTGTTGTTGGTTAGCTGCTTCATAATTTGACAGTATATTTCATCCTTTAAAATTTCCTATCAGAAAAAAAAAATTATTACAACATCTTCAACTGTTTTCTATAGTAAAAAGCTGAGAAGTTTCATTTAAAATAAAGCTATTAAAATCTATACAAGGATGTGTAAAATAAAACAGCTATTCAGCATGTATGAATCCTTATAATTTGAGTAAAACACAATGAAGGAATAAAATATAAACACAAAATTGTTATCTGTTATTTTTATAGAACTGATATCTTGAATTAAATTAATAGTCCAGAAGAATTAGAATTAATTCTTAAAATTCCTATACACTTAAACTATCATAAGATTCCAAGTTCACTCCTATATTATCAGAATACTAATCCAACATTTTAAACACTCTAGAGAAGTAATAATCATCCAAACCTATGTTTCATATGATGAGTTATGTACGTTCACACTGTTTTTAGGAATTACTTTTATACTATATGATGAATTTATCCATAAGGATTCTCTTTCAGTTTGTATATTTCAAAATATTTACCAAAGGTACACAAAGAGTCATCTGCACATAGCCATCACTAATTTTGAGCTGATAGTCTAGAGAGCTGACAGCTAGTCAGCTGTAACTACCATCAATGCTTGGGCTACTCTTGACAAAATCGTGGAAATTGACTGTCACTACCTCAAAGTGTGGAGTGTGTTTTTGTGGAAATTGGACATGAACCATGAAAAACAGATTCACAGTCTGAGCATGCAAACCATTACCTCATATGCCAGGCCCCTTATAGTGGCAAGAAGTAATGTCTTGATTTTATGGTGAAAAACAACCAAGACCTCATTGGGACTTCACTTTCTACCTTAAACTTGATTCCATATAAAACTAAAGTATTTGACAAGTCTGTGAATTTATTTAGCTTTCTTCACTAAAGTTTTTTTCTTTTTCAAGTTCTTGTTTAAGTATTCATTGGAATCCATCTCTAGTTCTATTTTCAGTTTCATCTACTTAATGTCAAAACCTGCTTGAATAAATTAACGAATTTCCATGAGGTTCTTCTGAGACAGTGCTGAAAAAATCTTTATATATTTATTTAGGGGGGTGTATAGATTAAGTAAATGCAACTTAAGAGCTGTACAATGGACAAAGGTATTTATTTTCTTCACATGAACATCACCTTGACTCTGACTTGTCAGAGTGAGTCAGACTGAACTGCAGTAATTCACAGACATATCTTTAGTGCAAAAACTTTAGTAACACATCAATTTTTGTGTACAAAATACTTGTAGTGTTTATTAAAAGATTTGTCACATTTCCTGAGCATTGTTTAAGTAAATTCAGAAGTATAGTCAATATTACTACTCTAATACATGGTTAGTCCAATAGACTGACCCTATGCACACTCAATAACTGCCAATATGCTGTCTTTCCATTTGTAGACAACATGCAGTTGTTGTTTGCCTGATTTCATCTTGTACAACCTGTTGGTAAAGCTTAGCCCTAGGTTTTACCTTAGTAACATCTTTCAAGTTGTTGGTCAGCCATATAAATTCAAAAACATACACTAGCATGCAAATTTATTACAATTACCTGTTGTTGTAATAGTTTTAATTTATAGTGGCCATAAAATAAAACCACAGTAGTTTTAAAGGTTGGAAATAAACATCAATATTCATAAGTTATTGATTTTCTCATTTTATTCTTCATTTTCATATATTAAACACTTTTTGTAAACTTTAAGAGAGAAGCAATAAGTAGTAACAAATAAATAAGTGCAGTAGGTTTTATAATAAATGTTCAAGATGTCTAATCTAAATACAAAGTGGTACAGCAGTCACATATGATTGCCTTTAGTTTTAACACCAATAATAATGACAAAACTGCAACATTTTCACATTTCAGTTTTTCATGCAGATACATATAGGTATGTGAGGGATAAGTTTTTTTTTTTTTCAAAAATATTGTTTAGTACAGCTGCAGTATTCAAATATTACATACCTTAGTATTCCATGGTATATATATTTATTACTTACAAGATTCACGATTTTCTCTAAATTCTGATTCTGATATGGTAATGATCATATGATAAGTTTAACCTAAAATGTTACTTTATGTGGATTGACCAGTCAAGGAAATAATCTACTGTTTTGTGGGATAGTTTTGTTGTGTTATTCTTGACCTCGTGTTTGAGAGACACCTTACAGCTATCACATGGTGCTCTTTTCAGTCAGTTAGCTGCCAGGACATTATATTTTATAACATATAGTTTTTGCAATTTTTTTTAAAGAAATTCAGATTAAACTTGGATGAGAACAGTTTGTTTTCAAATAGAGTCAAAACTTGCTGTGGAGGTCCAGTCTTTGTACCACCTTATTTATTTCTGCTAAGCATAGGTGCTGCAGTTCAACTCATCTCAATTATTTACACTTCCTTTCTTTATATATTTTATTTGCACCAGTTCAATGATGTATGTGGTTACCTTTGTCGTTCAGTTTATGTTACTACAATAAATCAAGAGTTTTGTTTTTACTTAGATTTCAACACCACAACTTGTTTCTTTTGTTTTACCTGAAACAAATTACTGCATCATCTTTCTACAAATTATATCCACAAATATTTTGTTTTTGTGGAGATCAGGTGAAAGTATAACATTGAATTACCACACAGCTAATACAGTGTGGTGTTGCAACTAAGGTACCAAAATAAAGATAATGAACATCCTTTGACAAAGCTAGATATTTACACGTTGTTAGTTGGAGTTTAAGAAAAATTGCAAAATACCTCAGTTGTTCACCAAATACTATGAAGTACACATTGGAAAGATACAAGGAAACCCTTTCCTATAACTTCAGAAAAGGCAGAGATAAAATAGTTTTCTAAATGACATATTTTTACATATCTAAAAATTAGTTTACTGAAAAACTAAAGGAAAAATTGTGAAAAACCTTATTGATGACATTAATAAATCCTGTATAGATAAAGTTTCAAAGAGTACAGTCTCAAGAATGTGGTCTTTTGTTTGTTTGAAGTTAAACACAAAGCTACACAAAGGTGCTCTGTTCACCACTGGTATTGAAACTTGGTTTCTAGCGCTGTAAGTCTGTAGACATACCACTGTGCCACTGGGAGGCATGGCCTGTTGAAAATAGTAGCAACAAAAAACCCCTACTGTACAAAGATACTAGATTTTGTAAAAGAACATGTATCCTGGTCTTTGGAACAGTGGCATAAAATGCTTTGGTCAGAGCACTCTAAATTTGAACTGTTGGTTTCTAACAAACATGTATATAATTGCCAAAGAGTCAATGAGAGGTTGCAGTAGGAATGTCTTGTGATAATAGTCAAGCATGTAGGAGGCTCAGTAGTAGTTTGGAGTGTAGGATTTGTGAATAGCACTGGCCATCTTCACAAAATTGATGGAATCATGGATCAGCATAAATACCACATATTAGTCTATCATGCTATACTCTCTCCAAAGAAGCTGATTGGGCAGAATTTCATATTTCAAAAATGATGAGCTTATTTGGCAATGAAAGAATGGAGTATGGAATCCAGTTGTGTGCATCAAAGACAAAGTTAACAATGACCAATTTACAGAAGGTGCAGAATCTAAAGATGAGAATAACAACTGGTTTAGTTTGGTTTGTTTTGAATTTCACACAAAACTATATGAGGACTATCTGCACTGGCCATCCTTAAGTTAGCAGTGAAAGACTAAAGGGAAGGCAGATAGTCATCACCATCCACCACCAACTCTTGAACTACTCTTTTATCAACAACTAGTGGGATTGACCGTCACATTATAACTCCTTCATGACTGAAAGGGCAAGTATGTCTGGTGGGATAGGGATTTGAACCCATGACCCACAGATTGCGAGTCAAGTGCCCTAACCACCTAGATATATGAATAACAACTGGAGGAGCCAAAACAACACATCGTGACATCCTATACATTGACTTGTTTTGAGCAGCATTACTACAAGATAAAGGATTCTAGTCAGCCAAGCACTACACAGAGCATTTACAACCATATCTCATCCACTGTATCAGCACTTGAGAGAGAGAGAAGGGGGGACTGACAAACAGCAATAGAGACACTGAAATTTGTCAAGTTAAGAGTCTTAAAACACTTTTAACAGGAATAGTGATCTCTCTGAAAGTATCAGAGAATGTATTTCTATCTAAAAACCAGAAATAATAAAGAAGAAGTGTCCATCTTCAAAAATCACACAGTACTAATCTTCAGAAACTACAGCTTTAGTTACATATTTAATTTACTTATATAATCATCTGATTCTATATACTAATTATCTACTTTGGCCTACATGCTGATTATCTACTTATTACACTAATATGATTTTCTAAGCCTACATGTACACTTCAACCTACGTTTTTAATGGCTCCATCAAATATGCAGTCGGTTAAATCATTTCCTCCTCGAGTTTTTCTTGAAGGAAGGTCACCCATATATTTCAAGATAGGTAATAATGTTAAAGTACACTGGAATAACATAATGTACATGGGAAACACATTTAACTCTGGTCACTTAATACTGATGTTAATTTTATGATAAAAACTTACTTCAGAAAAAACAATGTGAACAAGTATCATACTATCCGATACCTCTCACCATGAAAGACTAAAAAAACATTCTTTTAAAAAATATTAATACCCTTAGTACCACATCAAATTATTTCAAGACTTAGTAATTACCTCATGAATCTAAAGAAACAGATAGTTCTAACACTTGTACTGTTTCACATTTTCATGAATAAGTGACAGAGAAGTTCAAAATTGAAAGCTATACTCTGATATACTCTTTAAGATGAGTGACAGACTGTTCATATCTAAAACTACATACTTACACATTCCCAAAAATTGGTAACAAACTTGGTCAGATCTAAATATATGGTGGTGGAAAAATTAACTGCACCACTAATTTTTTCCCAATTTTCTTCAGAACCATCATCTGTTTTGAAGTCCTAATGCATGTACGTGTAAATGTGTTTTGTGGATGATGTAATACCATCTAATTATTACATCAGCAGCTTTATTAGCTGTCTGGATATTCTTCTGGCTATATGTTGAGGTTCTTACTGAGAGTCAGTTTAGATGCATATCTGATACAATGTGCATGTGATGCTACCATGGCCTAGAGTTACAAGTTAACTCCACAGAAAAAAAAGTCATTGTCTTTTTGAGCAAAGAGGGATTTTAGACAAGGCAAATTACTAGAAGAATTAAATTTAACAAGTCTACTGTGAGTTGCTGGGTGCTGAGATACAGAGAGACTGGCTGTGTAAAGTCGTGGAAGTGACTTCTCCAGTAGCTGGTGATCGTGTTCTGAAATGCGTGAACTTGCAGAATCATTGACTGTCCTCTACATATCTCAAAAGAGCATGGTAGGAAACTTCAGGGGCTACTGTCACCATGCGCATTGTCTGGTCTCGCTCATGTTCAGCCAGTTTCCCAGCAAGATGGTCAAGAAAGAAACATGCCTTTACTAACAAGATGAAGTTCAACTGGGCCAAAGACCAGGCTGACTGAAGCAATGTGGAGCAAAGTGATCTTCTTAGATGAATCAAAACTTCAACCTGTATGGGTATGATTGGATGCACTTTGTATGATGTCGATGTGGAGAAGGGTTTCATCCAATGTGTTTGAATATAATTGAGAAGCATCCACAGGGTCAGGTGATATAGGGATTCATCTCTGGCCAGAGTGTAGAATGCCTGCATTTTGTAAAAAGCACTTTTAATGCTAACAAGTACATTGAGATCCTCAAGTCCCAGTTAAAGTCAACAATTTGGGATCACTTCTGACCAGTGCACATTCCAGGAAGACTCTTCTCCATGCCACAGGGCTAAAAAGGTAGGTAATATTCATACACACTATGCAAAAGATGTGAAATAAAGAGGAAATTTCACTCAGCATGTATCAAAAAGACATCTTAAGATTTATTTCATTGCTTCAGGTGAAGGGCTATCTTCAAAGGGAGAGGGTCAAGACACTATACTAGCCAGGCGACAGCTCAGATCTCAACGCTATTGAAAACTGCTGGAAGGTAATGGGTAATAAAGTGTAAGAGAAGAAACTGAGAAGCACTTTGGGATTGCAGGAAGCCCTAATCTGCATGTGGCATCATGAACTCATCCCCTTCCTAAATTTGGTCCCTCATGCACCCTATGCCACAGCATTGTCAAGTAGTTATAAAGGCCAGAGGGAGCAATTCAAATATTAAAACAAGAAACTGACTCTATGATCTCTTTTTTTATCAATTACATTAGTGCCATTATCTTTAAATCTAGGTTTTCTTACTCATTTTTGCATTTGCCAAGTATTTGTTGACCATCTACTGTAATACATTTGTCACGATTGGCTTGTTAGTAAAGATGCATATATATGTTTGGATGACAGAAATATGAGTCAGCTTACACCACACAATGTCCATAACCGTTTTACACTAGTTCTCACACTTCCAAAATGCACAATCTCATAAAACATTACAGGAACTAAGAAAAGTGTGAAAAAATTAGGGTGATGCAATAATTTTTTCCTCCACTGTACATTATAACACAATCCCTATGATGACTGACAGAACTGTCTACATCTAAAACAACATTATGACACAATCCCCCCAAGACAAATAATAGAACTGTTCATATTTTAAACAACATTCTGATACACTTTTCAAAGTTGGTAACAAACCTGGTCACATCTACATTTTGACAAACTCTGAAAGGTGAGTAAAAGACTTGTTTAGATCTAAAACTACATAATGATACATTTCCCACAATAACAAAATTATTCACATCCAAAACTATATTCTTACATAATCCCAAAGTGAGTGACAGAGCTGCTTACATCAAAAACTACATTATGACATGATCCCAAAGACAAGTGACAGTTGTTCATATACGAAAAACAAAAATAATCCTGACACACTCTCCAAAATGGGTAACAGGTGGTATCACATGTAAAAACATATTCTAGCGTGCCTCTTCAAGGTGATTGACAGAACTCTGGATAAGAAATAAATTTACTTTGGGAAATGTCATAATATAAGTAAATAAAATAGACTTGTTTACTTCTCTAGATATGCTCTGACACACTCCTTAAGATTATAATAGTAATTAAAAGGGCTCAGGTATATATAGGCAATTTTTTATAAATCCTATATGGTCTTTAAAGTGATCCACAATGCAAACTTGTTTCTAATTGCTGTATTTTTCAAGATGAGTAATACACTTGATCATATCTGAATGCATACATTGATATACTGCTGAAAATAAGTAACAAATTCATTCATATATTCTGACATACTCTTGCTTTTAAATTAAAGAAAAAAAAAAGGATATCATTAAATGCAAAACAAGCTTCTTGGGCCAGCTCTTCTAAAATTAGTAGTTTTTTAAGAAGAGGTTGTTTAATAGGCTCTTTTGAATGTTCCCACAAGTGTTCTGTATCATGACGACGAGCTAACAATAGGGTTGAGCTTCGAGGAACAGATTTTTTTGGTGGAGGTCTACAAAGGAAAAACAAACAAAAGCTTTATATATTCATTACTGATTGATAGATTTAGATAACTTTAAACTGTTTTTTACTGTACAAGTTAATAATTATGTAAGTTTGAATTATGTATTATGTTCTTTCAAATACATGTTTAGCAATACCAAGATGCTGTAAAAAATTAATGAAAATAAATTTCACAACTTTATTACCAGCAATTTCAGTAAATACATAAAAAAATCCACCGAGCAGTAAATTCTAACTTTGTTCTTCATGTACAACCTGCACTCCTGAAAACAAAATAATGTTTACAAAAGTATCTATGAGTTTGGTGAAACTGAAGCTTTTATTTTGTTGTCTTTACAAATAAATCATACAAGATATAGTAAATGGCATACACCTCGAGAATACAAGATTTCTCTGAATTTTTTTGGGAGTAACTTCTATGCAGACATATCTTACCAGAAGTGAACTGAAAAATGGTTTATTTCTAAAGTATATGGGGTTTCTCTACTAATTCTATGAAACCTACTTGCAAGGTAGTTGAAGAAAAAATATTTTAAGAAGGAAGCTAAGAGACATCTATTGCTCTCCAAAAACGAACAATACAAGTCCTAGAGACTAAGCTGTTGACCAAAATAACTATTCTTTCATTTCTAAATCTTAAACAATTCTAATAAATTTGGAAACAAAAGAATAATTTGGGAAAATAGATGCACAGAAAAAAATTTCTAGCTATTTTTTATAATATGTCGGATGAATGTTTTACCAATGATGCTTGTAAATGAAAGTATATACATTTGTAAGTGTAACTTACTACAAATGGAAACAAGGAAGTGTGCTGACACTCTTTATCACTAAATTCAGGACTGAGGAGCAAGCTACATTTTGAAATTGTTTATTGAAAATTTTCACTGTATAAACTAATATGAAATTTTGATTCATATTTCAAACACATGATTTATAATATACAATGATAATGTGTGATGCGTCTCAGAATTTATATGTAGGTGTTCAGTTTAGAACTTTAAATCTTTGTTTTGTAGTAAGTTATGGTTAAACTGAGTTCAAAGAAAATATTTTCTGTGAGTCAGGGAGAGTTCTGATATGTAGAAATGCTTTCATTCTAATTTACTGTTGGTTTTAATTCAACTATGAATTTAGAAATGTGTGTTATCCGAATTACGTTTAATAGGTTTTAGAGATACCTCCTATTTAAAGCAAATGAACCACGTAAGATATTTAACTACAAGTATTTCTGTTTAGTGTATACCAATGTGCTTCACATAAGATGATTTGCAATCAAAATACTTGTAAATCCATGCATGATTATATTCATGTAAAAAGCAGTTTGATTATTTTAATATGTCTGTTTAAACGATCATTTCTAAATTCAAAATGTCCAGTGATATGTTCCAATTGGTTTTTTAATGTAGCAATGGTGCTAAAAGACCACTGTGCTGTTTTTTAAAATTGTTAACTTGTACAGGATGTTATGCAGGTTATTTGTTAGATGTATTTAATGTTTAGAAACTATTGAATGACTAGTAGAGTTTTGAAAGTTCTAGGTTATATACAACAAAAACAAGTTATGGCTACTTCAGAGAGCAATCATAGTTACACAAAGGGCTATCTGCACTCTGCTCACCAAAGGTATTGAAACCCAATTTTTAATGTTGTAAGCCTTCAGAGTTACCACTGAGCCACCAGAGAGTGAGAGCAATCTCAGCAAAATATTTGTGTAATGCTGAAAAAGTTTACTGTAATATTCTGAATGTTATTTTAATTTTAATGGTGAACACAGGTGGAATATTCTAAGGTGAAAAGAGTTAATATTAGATAGAAGTGAAGATTTTTATTTTGTAATAAAGATTTAACGATCTACACTTTCAAAATATAAAACTGCTTTTCATTGATTTACTTTTTGTATTATTAGAGAGGTACTACATAAATTAAAAAAATAATGTTTTTGAATTAATCTAATGCTACACAGTACCTATTTTGTGGTATTAAAACCAACAACTTAAGCTGAACAAGCATAGAAATGAAACCCATGAAGCTACAGGCTAAACTTCAATATCTTCTGTATGACTAGAAATTGAATATGTTACTGGCACCCTACTGATTACATTATACACTTGTTTTCAATATTGCTCATGAGAATAAAAGTATGCCAGTGACAAGCCAAAGTAAATTATGATAATACTGAAAACTCCAAATTGTAGTTTATAATACCTGACAAAAAAGTATGTCTTCTAATACATGTAATGTTAAAGTCATGAACTGCATTTTAACAGAGCAGACAAGTTATGCCAAAGGTTATTTATCATGACCACGTGTCAAAACACAAGGAAGGCAACCTATTAGTTATCTGCAAAAATAACTAAGGATTATTCAGACACAGAATCTGGTATGAAAAAAGATTTAACCAATAATGTGACTCCTACCTTTAAGCTCCTGCAACATCAGCTTAAGAAAAAGAAACGAACCAACTAGTGCAGTAAAAGACCTCCAAGATTAATACCCAGAAGATATGGAGGTCTGAGATAGCAACAGTTCAATTAATAATAATAAAAAAAAACTATCACAAAAAGTTTCTCAACCTACTGTCATGAAAAATGACAGAGAAGACACTTTTGACAAATTTGATTCCTGAACTAATTAGAGAAATGTATAATAATAACAAAAATTATTCAAAGAATTTTAGTATTTAGTGAGTATGGGTTAATAATGGACATTAATAATTTATATTTTCTAAGTTATTTCTTGCTATAAGTTAGATATATCTTCTGATACAATATATTTATTACTCTTTGTAACTCTGTTTCACAAATTTTGATAATACACATCTTGTAGTATTAGGTTACGAGTTTATCAAAAGAATGTTGGCTTTATCAAGATGTAAGTATAAAAGAAACTATAAAAGTATGTAAGCAGTGTGACTTGTATGTCAAAAGTGTTTAAGTGAGTTATTGTAAAACTAAGTAGTTAGTGAGTATGACAATTGTTGCTGATATTAGAGAGCTTAAGTTCAAGTGTACAACTTTTGGAATATTATTCACTTCTGTGTAAACAAGTTATATATAACCCAGTGATACCAGCCAAATTTGAACAAATGAATACTTTGAATTAATCCCTGTTTTAATTTAGGTAAATTGTTATGATAAACTGTACAAAAGTGAATTAGTATACGTAATCATTCTTAAGAATATGTGACAATTTCTTTGTCCCCAACCCAGAGAATCCACTCACCATGTTTCGAAATGTAAAAGTCAAAATAAGTAAAAACCGTATAGCTAGTTAAAAGTAAAGTAACTAAGTTTTGACCAAGGTATGAATCAGTAGAATATGAACTTGAATTTATAGTTAACAAATGTTCAAAGTATATATATATGCTGTGCCCATCACAGGTATCAAAACCCAGTTTTTAGCATTATAAGCTTTCATGTTTACTGCTATGCCACTAGAGGGCTCCTTCATTAAGATATTTCAGTAGTAGACGTTTTGCAGATGGTCTTTTCAAATTTAAGACTTTCACTTAGTGACAGAGTATGATTCACTGTATAGATACATTTATTCCTTTACTCTCCCTGTTTCCTTTATTAAGTTTTTAAATTGTTTTTTATACTCTTTCTTGAACTTTATTAATCTCAGTTCTGTTTCTAAATTGTTACATTTCTTTACTAAATCAGCTAGGGTTTCTTTACACTGCTTTTGTGATTTTACTTTGGTGATTTTTTACATATGATCACAGTGCAGTGTCTATTAGTACAATGCAGTTTTCATAGTTGCTGTACCACAGTTTTTAGAATTTAGAATTAATAAATATAACCTAATGTAGGATAGTAAACATCTTTAACTCAATTTTATTTACTTTAAGTTTCCATTACGCTAGTTCTTCTGTGAAATGAAACGTTTATGGTTAATAAAATAGAGTTGGGTTCTAAGACTTTAAATCCAGACCTAATAGTCTGTTTCTTCCTCCTTGTAAAACACTACACTTCGCTTTCCCTTTTAAAATTTACTAATTTACAAATCCAGTACCTTGCTTGTTAAAAAGCCTCTCAGACCAGTCACAATCCTACTTTATACACCAATGAAATTTTGATCAAAATTCTTAAAATTTGTGAATTTTTAATGATTTATGGTATCTATTTTTTATGAATAATAGTGTGAGATTTTCATTAAAGGTTCATTGGAACATGATGTTAACCTACAATTTCTTCTGATGTGCCTGTGAAACTGCACAAGGATTGTGCTAAGCTTTTAAAAGCTTACAGCTCATTTGAAGAGGAACCAACACTTCAAAGCACTTCTTAACTATATAAAATTATTTAGGTAAGTCTTCAAAATGAATTTGTTCAGTTTTTCGAGATAAATATAACCATTTTCACTGAAACAAAATTGAACGTTCTGTAAATTTCATAAAATTGAAAGTTTTTTTATCTTGGTTTTCATACACATACATTTTTCTTTTTTAATAAGGGTATTTGCATGTGTGTGTGATTAGTCGCATCTAAATTCAGCCTCAGAACCTAACTTCCTGCTATAAATGATTAGTGGAACATGTATTTCAAAAGCTTAATATTTCTCAGAAGGATATGTAAACATAGATTTCTAAAAACGATCTTACCGGAAGTGATCAATGGCATACTCTTCAAGAGTATGAGATTTATCTGAAGATTCTGCATTACCAGACTGGCTGGAGAACAGTTGTCTGCTCTGTTCAGCACCTTCCTGGGTGAACAGCACTATAATCTTGGGAGGTGGTTTGGTGAGTGTAGGTAAGACATACACAGTTTCACAACGAAAATCTCCCTTCTTTCCAGTCTTATCCAAGTGGCCAGAACACCAACTATTAGAGGCTACTGTGTCACCATTAGAATCTTCTTCTAAAACAATTAGATCACCTTTGTTGAAAGACAGACATGACGAGTTTTCTCCTGTTATGAAGAAACATAGAAATTATTATAATTGGAAACTGAAACAAAACCTTAACAAGAAGAGTATTAAATAAAATGTACCAGAAAAAAAACATACTTAAAATTTATTAAGTAAATAAAAATAACTTTACATTTAAGATGAATACCAGAATAAAAAGGAAACATTTATCCAAATAGCCTTTCATTAATTCTTTCCTAATAAGTTTAAATTGAAAATACGTTGAATGTAATGTCCACATAAGAACCAAAATCATAAAAAAAAGCTTAAGTACATACTGGTCCTCCCCTTTTTACAGGACACATTAGTAAAATGCTAAGCTCCAAGAACATTTGAATCAGCCATTATTCTGCAAGACATGATACGCAAGTATACTCAACAACTTGTAGTTCACATTTCATCCATTTTTTCCTACAGAATGAATAACAGTTCTCAAAGGTTCTTTTGTAATATCAGTAATTGCTCTTTGTCACATTAAACATTTTTAAAATTTATAACATTGACTAATTGTATGGATGATCTAAATGTTTGGAATGAATTTAATGTGCTTATCAAAACAACCTGTAATTTTTCAAGACATTAGTGTAAATGTTCAAATGGTTAAAAAGTGGTTTATTTTCATCCACACCATATAAAAATAATTTTTCCTGCTATTTGGGTAATAGAAATTTGGCAGATTTGAGTGCATGTGGTTTAAAATGTTTCCCTAATGTGAGCACCTGTTTGTCTAGTTCCAACAGTGGCTCCTCTTTTACCATTAAGTGGCATAAATAATGGAGTTTTGAATATACTGTAATATTATCTACTGGAAGAAATTCGTCATTTACTTGAAGGGGAGTTGAAGGGATGTGTTTTGTGCCTTACATTTGTCCGTGATTTCTACTTTTCATCTAAACTGTGTATCAAAATGATTAAACATTTGGAAAAAACTTACTACAGTTTCATTATCCAACATTACTGAATCTATAGCATCATCTAGGAATATTATCCAAATTAACACAAATAACAGGATGGGATTTGCAGATCACCCATAAGAAGTAAGGATAAATATGTAAACTAGAGGATTAATACCATTGGCTTACAGTTTAGGATCTCCTGACAACATACTAAACTCATGGACTCCTTTTCACAGAAGTTAACATTTTCCTAAACTGAAAATGTATTTCTCATAGATACTTACCTCTTCTCACAAAATAGTTTTTCTCAATTAGTACTGCCCTCTACTGGTGCAAATTTTCAATGCTCACCACCAGCATTCCACCTCCCGCTTCTGCATATCTACATGTAAATGATTATGCAGCAGCTCTCCATCAATAGGAGCGTGACACAACCCCTATTGCAACCAGTGCACTCTCCACATTTGCACTCATTAATCACTTTGAGATTTGTCAGAAGGTACACCGCATATCACCGGAAATGGGAAGGCTGGGTGGGAAATGTAAGTGGAGGCAAGTATCCATCGGAAATATATTTTCAGTTCAGGAAAATGTTAACTTCTGATACTGTATCTTACCTTCGCTCATAAAATAGCAAGAATCCCACACTGAACTGGTGGAGGGCCACTGAAAAAAATGATCTCCCTTTAGGAAGCACCCAAAGAGAGACCATGAGGTGTGGAGCCAAAAAATAAAATATCACACCTCAGTGGGAGATCACACCACATCTGATCCAGGTATATTCTTTGCTCCTTTGTGACTGTGTTGCAAACATAAAAGGCAGAGAAACATGAAGGAATCCTATAATACATATTACCAATTATTGGGACCCCTGGGTGTCAAAAGGCTAGGGCGCAACAGACAATAGTGGTAGTTCAACCTATCGAACACCTGGCAGTATCTGGAATTGTACATCAGTTCTGTGGTAGGCAGAGGATCTCCTACCTATTCACCTCAAAACGGGAATTAGTAGGGAAGATGAGCTGTCATACCAAAATCCATCTCCACTTGTATGCATTTCCAATCCAACCAACATCTGATCCACCGAGAACTGACATCCAGCAGATGGTAGGAAAGAGGAACGCCCCAGTGGGATGAAATTTCTGGTCCAAAACCTCGCAGCATTGTGTACAGTTCTTCCAATCTGCTGTAGAAGGAGGATATCTGGCAATACACAAGTGGGAATACCAGTGCTGCATCCAGCTACAACCAACACTAGATCTGCCGAGAAACGACATCCGGCAGACAGTAGGAAGAGGGACTGTAAACCTTGGGTGCATCTCCAGTCTAAAACCTGGCAGCATTTGGTATTCAGTCCTTGGTAGGAGGAGAGATACTCGCCATAACACACGAGGACTTACTTAGCTGGATCATCTCCAACAAACACCTGACCTCCCAGGAACAGCATCTGGAGGATGGTAGGTAGGAGGAACATCTTAGTCTGACAAGCAAAATGCAAAATATATATAGTTGTGACTTTGTGGAGTACTTGAACCAAATCCTGACAGTATATGGAATTGTACATCAGGTCAGCAGTAGGAAGGGCATCATGCCATCAACACATGATTATAATCATGACAGGGCCATCTCAAACCAACACCAGACCAACCACGAATGTACATCCGGAGGATGGTAGGAAGGAAGAATGCCACGGTAGGAAAAAGCAATATGCCAGATATATATTTATAAATACGGCATAGTGCTACAACCAAAACCTGGCAGCATCTTGAATTGTACATTGCTACTGTCCTACTCTCAAATGAGTGGTATAATACATCACTCAGGAAGATAGGCCTCCATGGACCACCACCCCAGTGGCTAGGAATTGGTAAGTGGCAAGAAATTCTATACTCCACTAGAAGAAAGGAGGGAAACATGTACTGGAGAGTCCGGAGGACTGCATCACCAGAGATAGTGCAACGGGTGACTGCGAGACCCTATGTCGACAGAATCAATCAACCAACACCCAGCAGCATCTGGAAATGCATATTAGGTCTGCGATAGGAAGAGTCTTAACTCCACAGAGCATCAGATATGGGCAGCAATTCCTGTCTGCTTATCTCGTGTGTATCCATGAGTGTACGGTCTGGGATGAACATATTTATGAAGCAAAATACCACTAGAGAGAACTACTAGTGTTCCACGGAACACGCCATCTCTATGGTGTGTGTAACCAAATCCTGCAATGTAACTGTTTCAGCATAGATGACAATTGAACAGAGACACACAACCAACATCTGGAGGCATCTGGAATTGTACATTAGGTCCACTGTAGGAAGAGCTACAATGTAATTGACATCAAGCACAGTCACAAGATGGACAATGCAGGTTTTCAAAAAAAAAGAATACCTGGTCAGGCACCACTTGCCACAGAGTGGGATCCACTGTACACTAGCAAAAAGGCCCCTGTAAATAAAGAAATAATAAAAACATAGTAAAGAAAAACTAAGTCTGTAGTATAAAGAAAAATGTCAACAAATTTATGAGCCAAAACAAGCACATCTGTACAGTACTAATGCCAATCTCGAGGTGATTAACAACTGCAAATGTGGAAAGGGCACTGATTACAATAGGGGTTGTGTCATGCTCCTAATGATGGAAAGCTGCTGCATAATCACTTTTGTCACCTAAACATCTAAATATTATACTTAAATAGATGACAAGTCAAAGTTAAAACAATCTTACATTTGTTAAAAAACTTAAAAACAAATACAAAACCCACAAGAACACCAGTACAAATGAAAAGAGTGTTATAATAACAGTTCATAATAAGCAAGTTCAATGTTTATACAAACATCATTTCAATTAAGACTTTGTACATTTGTAACCTGGCTGGCTTGCATGATGATCTCTGCTACAGAGTATTAATGAGAAGATGTAACTGAAATACTATTACATGCATTCTTCTTACTGGTAGCCTATATTAAGCTATTAAAGAATGATGTCAGTTAAAACATTATCAGTCTTATTGAGATGTAACATTTGATTGTGGTTTGAAATGTTTCCATACTAAATAGTCACATATTGCTACTGGCCACATTTTCTGCCAGCTAAGATGCTTTATACCCCAAGACTTGTTTACTATGATTAAGTCATGAATGACTGATATAAATAGTATTTCAACTGAAACTTTGTATGTTGTAACCCATATAGCTAGATGAGTTCTGGTATTGAGCAAAAGGCTTTTTAAGCTGTGACTTATAACAAATGAGATAAAGTTTAAATTATACTGTACAGCCTTCTAACTGGAAACACCATATTGGGCCATTAATGTGATATAAATTATTATCAATCTTATTGTGATATAGTATCATCCCATACTATTCTGTATTTAAAGACATAGTTTTGTCTAAGTAAACATTCATAAACAAAATCTTATTAAGTTAGTATCTAAACAGAAATGGCTGAAAATGTACAATCTATAACAATTGTACATGTAAATTCCATAATTTAACGTTCTATAAATGTGGTCTATCAGATCCAATGTTTGTACACGTGCACAAGTATCTAATATCATCCATTCTATGTGTCAGTTTATTATTTAAATGCATAATACTAAATTTTAAATGTATTTAAGTTTTATACAAGTAATTGGTTTGAAAAACTCATATTCACATGTAACTGTCAGTGTACATAAACTCTCAGTCCAAATCTAAAATAGTTATGAATTTAATAAGCACAATGAGGCTGTTGCACTTGCTATTATCAATACAAATTTTTATGTAGAATTTGGTCTTATTTTAAAAGAATATAATTCATTCCATAAAATTGTGAGAAACCTTAGCTGTGACATTTGAAATGTATTGTAGTCTCATATTAGCTTGTAAAACATCATCATTATTCAGTTAGAAATAAATCTTTATTTAAACATGGACTTGTTAATAATTATTCTTCATTTTTAGCCCTTGAGCTACAACAGAGCATTACTACCAATATTTGTTTAGTTACCATCACATCATAAGCGTTGAAATTAAGAGAACAAAAATGTATATCTATCTTCCACTCCTGAAAAGGTTTGTTAATTATGTTTTAGATTTTAATGTACTGTTAATGTTTAAAAATTGATCAGTAATTGGATGCAGCCTAAAATACATGAAAATTAGCAAACAAAACCTATATTTTAAAAAACTTTTTCTTACCTTGATTATCTTGCAGGGCAACAACATATTGTGAACGTGCCTTGAGACCATCCAAAAAGTACCCAATCAAGAATTCCATATCTTTGGCAGTAGGTGAACTAAACGTAAAAGCTTCGCCCCTGACTGTGTGAATTGTTACTTCTTGGATGAATGGCCGATTTCCTCTAAATTGATAAATATCCATAAGAAACTTATTTTTAGTTTGAATGATTCACATGATCAAGATACAAAATGAACTACAAAATTACTTTGAAACACAAATTTGAAAGAACAAAAGTAGAAAAATAATATTTTTTCTCCACAAAAGTGAGTTTGTTTGCTCATTGTGAAGACATGTGCCCTACCCACAGCAATTATCATAACCTAGTTTTTATCATAGGCAAGTACGTACAATGTATGAACAAAAATACAATTACACAATTTTTATACATGTAACATACTATTTATTAACAATATTATTTTGCACATACCATATTATTTTTAATTTATTAAGTTCCTCAGCAATCCAACTACAAAGAATAATAAACTTTACATCATTTTTGAGAACCTTGAAATATGTTTATCTAAAATATAATGTTACAACAAACATTTTTTATAATTCTCTCAAAATTTTAACAATAAACTCTAACACAACCATCTATGACTGATGCTTGTAATAAAATTCAAAAGTTCTAGCTAACTTCAGTCAAAACTTTTGCAATCACACAATGCCTTACAACATCTGTTTTATACACAACTGACATCTCAACTTGTCACAAGCCACTAAATGATTATTATGTAAGAAAAAAGTCAATAGTTTGGTATAAATGTCTAATTTACAAGTATTCTGTTGGTACAAGATTTTATAGTTCTATGTAATAAAAAAATGATGTATATATATTTCAGGGTTTCAATGAACTGCAATCATTAGGTTTCAACAAAACAACATTAATTGTAAACCTGAACCTCAGGTTTGAAAGAAAATAAAATAATTTTCCAAATCTCACAAAAAATCATAAGCATACTACACTTGAAATTTCAGTGGTACATAAACACTAAAACACTATAAGTTGCTACAGTAAAAATATTTTAATATTTCATAAAAACTCCAAACTGACATATTTAACACTGAAAACAAAATCTGGAATAACAAATATAAGTGGGAGGACAGAAATACTAATGTTTTATAATTGTTAATCCAAAGAACATTCAAAGTGTGTGTACAACAAAGAAAGTTTTTAAAAGCTCTTTACATAAAAAAGATGTAGTGCCTAAATCAGTAGAAATGTCACACAAAAGTTAAAAAAAATTAAACAGATAAGTTATCTCAGCTTAAGCTTTAATAAATGAGGACTGGTAAGATCAGTGACTAAATAATATTATCATAGTTAGTACTGAAGAATTATCTCATTGAAATACATAGAAGAAACTGAGATTTTAGACACCAATTTCAGACAAATAGGGTCAACATAAACAAAATGGCAAAAACATTTTGTACAGAGAAGGTGCTATTGTGTACAAAAATATTTTTTGTATATTCAAATAAGATTATTCTTATAAAAAAAACATTTTAGAATTTTTGACCATTCTCAGATAATTTCATGTAGATTATGGTTATATTTTATATTATTTCTGAAAAGAAACATCATCTGAAAAAATAAGCAATCACTGGAATTTCCTGATAACTTATAATAATAATAATACAAAATTCACAGTTTTGATTGTTCAAATGAATTTTGAACAGAAATGCATCTTCATAGAATACTTCATGACACATCAAAATATCTAAGAAATACAAGATGAGGTGAGTTTGAAATATGGGAGGGGGATCAAAAGTGAAGAAACCAATGTCAACATTATAAAAATTATATAGTATTGTGAATATTATATAAGAAGTAAACCTGAGTTAAATAACAGGATTTTCATGAACATGGCTTTATTATATTCTCGCTACATCTTTTTTAATCCACTAAATGAATTTTGTTTCATGTGAATATAACTTTATGGTCATAAAAGTCCCCCCTGAAGAATGACCACTTTAATATTGTACTTGTCTTAGTTTTTTATATTATTTTGTTTGTTTGTTTGTTTTCAATATTTTTTATGATTGTAGATAATATCAAACAAACCTACCTACTGACCTTAAAAAGTAAAACTAAAATACTGTTACGTCTCTGTTCGTT